ATACAAAAATGAACTCAAGGTGGATCAGAGACCTAGGGGTAAACCTCAAAACCATAAACTTCGTAAGAGTCAAAGTGGGACCAAGCTTAGAAGGCCTAGCCCATGGTATAAATGAAGGCTGACAAAAACAATCAGAAATACACAACCAGGAGAGGATAAAATTGGTGAGTGGGACCTTCTAAAGATTAAATCCCTCTGCATATCAGAAACTTTTTCCAGCTGGGTGAAAAGAAAACCTACTGACTGGAAAAAACATTTTGCAGTACATCTCAGACAAGGGTCTCATAACAGAATTTTACAAAAACCTACAGTGCTTCCACAAGGAAAAGACTGATAACACAGTTATAAAATGGGCAAAAGACATGGCAAGATTTTTGACAGAGGAAGATATTCAAATGGCCAACAGACACGTGAAGAAATGCTTAAAATCACTGGCAGTAAGAGAGATGCAAATCAAAACCACAAGGAGATACCTTTCACCCCAGTAGAGGCAAAGTTTAACAGGAAAGCAGACAATAAGTGTTAGAGAAGACGTGGAGAGAGAGAACTCTCATACACTGTTGGTGGGATTGTAAAATGGTACCGCCACTTTTGAAGGCAGTTTTGAATTACCTCAGAAAAGTTGAACATAGGTATTCCATATGACCCTGCTATTCTGCAGCAAGGAATATACCCTGAGAAAACTAGAACTGAAATACAAATGGAGATTTGTACAGCACTGTTTATAACAACATTATTCACCCTCACAAGAACACGGTAACAGCCCAAATGTCCAACCACAATCAAATGGATTGATAAATGATGGTACATTCACATGATGGAATTAACTATGCAACACTTGGGAACAATGATTTTGAAAGTTACTACGCAACTTTGGAGGGATTGAAGAGCATTATGCTGAGTGAACTAACTGTCTTTTAAGGACAAATAGTGCATAACACCTGTAGAAATAGATAACTAGTAAAATGTGTATTAAGATCTGAGGGGGAGAAGAAAGTCCCAAAGGTGAGGATAGCAATATGTAATACACACACACACACACACACACAAACACACACTAACAAAATCAGGTTGGCCAAGATTTAAAGGATAAAATGGACTTAATGTATTCTGGGGTGTACAAAGTAGACTTTCTTTGACATTGGGAGAGTGGAATTAGAGGGCCTCTGATACATACTTAATCAGAATTAACCTTTATAAAGATACATACTCTTTGATTCAGCAGTTACACTTCTAGAAAATTTACCTGAGAAAGTAATTGTGGTGGTGGTGCTAAGTGCCGTCGAGTCATAGGTGACTCCTATTGACTCTGTGAACGAAAGTTCTAGAAACCTGTATAACTTTCATCCTTTCTCCAGGTTCATAGAGTTTCCAGAGGCAAGCTATTTTGAAAGTGGATACTACTCCAGCTTCCAAGCTTGTTTTAATCTGGGAGCTCCACCAAACACTGTCCACCGTGGATACCCATTCTCACATTTGACACATCCGTGTCACAGTGTTCGGCTTCAAAGCAACCACAAGTTAGCTCTGGACAGCAAATGAACATACCAGGGTTACACGACCTAGAAGAATGTTTGACTAAAAACAATTAAAGGCAGGCCTGAGGGTCACGCATAAAACATGGATATGCAAAGGAAAACAGCAAATGCGATAACCACAAGTGTAACATCTGTCCTCAGATTTTGGAGGCGATCAAGGGTACTGTTTTAGGGAGCTCTGGTGATGTAGTCCGTATTGAGTCCTGCGGCTAAGTCAAAGGCTGCCCATGATGTGACATGGCAACTCCACCAGCAGTTCTGCTGGAGAAAGATGGGCAGTCTCTTCCTCTTGGGATTTATAGCCGCAGAAACAAGTTGGAGGGCCATCTGTTGGCCAGAACCAACTCCACACACAGATCAGTGCGAGGATGAGCCACCCTAAAGAGTACCTGCTTCTGCTCCTTACCCCAGCCCGCCTCTCAACCCATAATCCCTTGGAGTCCACATTAGCCATAACAAGGTTTTGCGAACTGGTTTTACCTTTGTAAAAATATTGTGTCAAAATGAACAAAAACAGAGTTCCAAATTTCTTTGCTGATCTTGGAATTTGTTAGCTAAGTAGCCTGTTTATTAACCTTTCTCCATTGCATAGTTTCCCACTTTTGTAAAACCAGTATTGTTGTTTTTATGTACTGTAGAGTCAGAACCGACCCATAGCTGAGCCTTCAGTGGGTTTTCAGAGACAGTTAATTCCACAGGAGGAGAATTCCAATCCTTCTCCTATGGAGCAGCTGTTGGCCTCAAACCACATACCTTCAGGATTGCAGCGCAGCTCCTAGCCACTAGGCCACCAGAGCTCCCTAAAATCAGTATAGAAAAACAAATAATATATAAGACAACATGTAATAGCTCGTCCTCATGCATGGCACAATTTTAAGTGCTTTGTACAGATGAAGACATTCAGTCCCCTCATTAACTCCTAGTGAACTCTGTTATTCCAAGTTTACACATGAGGAAAGTGAAGCACAGAAAAGTTACCCCATTTGTCCCGGTCACATCACACAGCAAATGAAGGGGGGAAAGTTAGATTTACACTGCTCAATTTCAGCACTGCCTCACTGCTCCCTCTCTCTCAACAATTGCTACTCAGCTCAGATCACTTGGAGGAAACGTAAAAGGTACCTGTGGGATAAAAAAGATGAATACTGCTGTCTTATCCCTCCGTTTGGCCAACTGGCAGCCAGGCCTCCACTGTTAAAATGAAATGGGCATGGGCTGATCGTCCACCACCTTGACTGGGGAGTTTACATGTTCATTCTAGAACTCCTTCTGGTACATGATAGAAGTTTTATTTAAAGGCAGTGAATTGCGTGTGAGCATAAAATTCCCACAAAAACCATATTGGTTTCGAATTTAAAAGCATCCACCCACCCTGCTGAAAGCATCCGTTTTCCGTATGCAAACAAAACTTGGCTTGACTTGCCAGTCATTATTATGAAGCATAGTCACTTGACTGGACTGAAAGGCAGAAGGCTGTAAAAGTACACGTTATCAGCTCCATTCTTTCCACATGGTAAAAAAAATCCCCCCACTAACTGTTTGGAAGTATGTAGGGAATTTTCAGTCTCTAGGAAGAAACTGGGCTGAATCACACGCTGATGGCTGCGCCTCATCTCCTGACTGTAGATCCGCTGCTCTTCCTCCGTTTCCTGTTTCTTCACAATACTTTGAAGGAACTTCAGCAATTTGGTTAAGTTTTTTCCCAGTACTTAATGAACACCTGTTATGTGAAAAGGAACTCCTGCATAGTGCAATTGGTTAACTTGCACAATGCCATCCAAACGGAGGGTTCAGTACACGCAGAGACGTCTCGGAAGAAAGCCGGGGAGTTTACTACCTAAAATCAACCACGGAGAAATGGGGTGCCAGTGACACGGGTGAGCTTTAGGTCGTGGGAATAAGCTTGGCAACTGGCGGCCTTAGTGAAAAATCTTGTGGTAGCTGATAAGGATATGGAAAATGAACGTAAACACCGAACTTGAATCATCAGATCATCACTGCTGTTGAGTGTGAATTGCATGGGAAGAGATTGTCATCTGAGCTGCTGGTGGATTTGAACCACTGAGGAAGTGCTGTCTTTGCATTTGCAGTTTCCTATGGACCATCCCACTAAAGCTCCCTCCTTTAATCACAGGAAACTGACATTTAAATATAGAATTATGATATAGATGAATATTGTATGGCATTTTTTTCTTTTCAACTTTTTATGAAATTAATGAAACAAAACCACAGAATCTGTGCGTTAGGTTATCATTTACTTTAAACAACATTATTTAAAAGGGACTAGATCGGGCTTGCAGAATGCTCTGGGAATTCAGGAACTTTTCCCCAGAGAGGTTCGGGACTAGGTTGGGTACCTGTATAGTCTGCATTCTTCCAGGAGCATGAGCACATTCTGATCCTTTTTGATTTGAAGCTGACTGGTGAGAGAGCCTATTGATGCAGGAGAGATCAAGTGATAGATACTTTGAGATGTGGTCAACTCCAGAGCCTCGGGAACAGGCCATGCATCACAGGGTACTTCTACTGGCTTTTGAGGCTAAGCGTAGTACAACAGTTTGGGGTTCTTTTTGTTTTCCTCCAAGGAGCGTATTTACTCTACAGATCTGAAGAAAGGATGGTGATTTGTGTGACTGAATGCCAGCTGTCTTTGAAGAAGTAATACTTCATACTCTCTTTCTACTAGAACATGAACTTCTCTAAGATCCCCGTTTCTCTTTGTGTTCCAGGAGCTTTGCATAGGAAAATTATAAAGTGAGACTCATATAGCATATTACAGAATAGAACTTACTTGAAGTAAGCTCAAAATGCTTTTACATCTTCAGTAAATAACGTTAACACAGCTAATATATATCAAAGTCATTGGCTTGGAGTCTGAGCCAATCATAGCTGAATCTACATTAGTTTTTTTTTTGGGGGGGACTTGTAAATTGCATGGGAGGAGATTGCCCCTCTTTCCTCAGAGCAACTGGTGGATTTGAACTGACAGGGTGGTGCCACCTCTGAATTAACAGACTAGCTCTGTATGGACATGTCACCAGAGCTCTCTGCTAGCGTAGATAGGCGTCAACTAAAAGGTTGTATAGATAAGCTGTCTTTTTTATAAAATTGTTATATCATCAGAAGTTTATCTACACGGAGTACCTATTAGTTAGTTATCTTACATTATACGTGCATATGTATATACCTACATATATTTGTCTATGTATGTATGCTTTAAGAGTAACAGGATGGTGTAAATTGTTAAGTACTTGTCTCTTAACCAGCAGTTGGCAGTTCAAACCATGCAGAAGTAACAGGCTTCTGAAAGGTCACAGTCTTTGAAGCAGTTCTATTCTGCATATGTGGGGCCACCTTGAGCTGAAATTAACTTGACATTAACAAACAAATAGCGTGTATATTAAGGCGATTTTTGTTTTCTTTTTTTTCTCTCTCGCCAGGGCACTTGCTAATCCCGTTACTATGAGTCTGCTAAACTGTGAAAACAGCTGTGGATCCAGCCAGGCTGACAGTGAGTGCTGTGCGGCCATGGCCAGCTCCTGCAGCACCGCAGCCAAAGATGACAGTGTGAGCGGGACCGCCAGCACAGGGAACCTGTCTAGCTCCTTTATGGAAGAGATCCAGGGGTACGACGTGGAGTTCGACCCACCCCTGGAAAGCAAGTACGAATGCCCCATCTGCTTGATGGCATTGCGGGAGGCAGTGCAAACACCATGTGGCCATCGGTTCTGCAAAGCCTGCATCATCAAGTCCATAAGGTACGTGCGCCGGAGAAAGAATAGCGCCCTGTATCTAAAACGAGTACAGAGGATACTGATCAGGAAGTAAATGTTCTACTTAAGCTCCAGTGAATGCTTGTCTGTCACACTTGTAATGGTCATCAGTTCAAATCCAGCAGCCACATTCTATGGCAGAAAGATAGGGCAGTCTGCTCCCTTACAGATTTACAGCCTTAGCAACCCTGTGGTGCCCTCTTCTCTATCCTGTACGGTCATGGTAAGTCTGAGTTGACTTCTCTGGTGCCCTCTGCTCTATCCTTTACGGTCATGGTAAGTCTGAGTTGACTTGGTGGCTCTGGAAGGTAGTGCCCTTCTGCTCTGTCCTGTATGGTCACGGTGAGTCTTAAGTAGACTTGGTGGCAATGGTATAAAGGATATTATTGCTGATGTCAGATCTTGGCTGAAAGCAGAGGATACAGCAAGATATTTACTTGTGTTTGTGCAAAGGCCTCTAACTGATTATGGCTAACAATGGAAAAAATGGAAATCTCTGAACACTTAGTCATATTGCTAGTTTTCTCTGCTGTCCTGAGATCAGATTTATTATACTCATTAACTTCATGAGATACTAAACAAGTCAGCTAACTTGCTAACGATGTAAAATCATCTTTGAAGAGCAAATCTTTTGAGGGACCAGACTGTGCAAAGAAGAATGTGGCATCAGGATCAGAGGAACACTTGTTAAGTACCTGCGTTATGCAGATGACAAACTTGTTTACAAAAAATGAAGAATTAAAGCAGTCAAAGGTAAACATGGTGACCTAACTATGAGTAGCCTTCAGGAGCCCCCATTTTAATGATTACTCTGAAACAGTCACTATTCCACTCAGATGCACAGACGGGACTTTCACTTTATTTCTGGGTCTAGGGCACTGGGTTAGGGAGTTACAGGCCTTCTGTCTTCAGGACTTTCTTCTGGGCGCCATGGGGAAAACCATTCACAGGAAGTGTAGGTAACTGTCATTCCTCTCTACCTGCCTTTGGGTTAGCAACACAACTCCTTAGCCACTAGGCTCCCAAAAGTCTCTGCTCAGAAACTTACCATCTCTAAACATGTTTTCTGTTTACTTTCCAATAAAATGAATATAGACTAATTCCCTCTATGCTTGGGATGAAGCATAACTTAAACTGAAAGGAAGGAAGCATGTGACTGGTTTCAGTTTTGTGGTGTAGAGGGTATACATTGCCTAATGGTGAATTGTTTGGAGTAAGATTTCTCAACTTTGACACTATTCTTGGAATGGGCTGGATTATTCTTTATTGTGAGCGAATGTCTGACGCATATTAGGATGTTTAGCAATAATCCTGACATCTGTACAGGAGCACCACTTAACCACTAAACCCCTTCCTCCCCTCCCCCAACCCCTCCAATTACAGTAATCAAAATAACCCCAGACATCACCAAATATCCCCTGCGCAAAACCACCCCAGGTTGAAGACTACTCATTTAGGCTGCTCAGCTTTTGTTCTGTTTCTAAACATTTTTTTATATTTAATGTGTTAGCATTGTATTTAGGTCCAAGTGGCTCCGCCTTATGGATGTTTGGTTTTCCTGTCCCTGGAAATATGCAGTGTCTTACCATGTGCCATATGCTCAGGAAGATAGCTATTGCTTACCAGTGTTCTGATAGCAAGATACTCATGGGAATATTAGGCCAGTGGTCCAGAAAGAAAGTAAAACCCACAGGAGGAAGTCTGAGCCCTTTTTCTGTCTGATTGTCAGCTATAAAGGGAGCTCTCTTGAGGCTGTCTCCCTAGGGGGCTCCCTGCTAACCCAAATGAATCCACCAGCATCTCTGCAGCACAAAGACGGGCAGCTTCTTCCTGTGTAAGTTACAGCCTCAGAAACCCAATAGAAGGTCAGCTGTGCGTCGGTTCTAACTCGGCACCAGTGATACTGAGTCAGAAATGCCATTTGCTTTGGCTCTGTTTTCTTGGTTTTGCATTTTGCCCCAATGCTGCACACCTTTTTCATTCTCCTCCATTGTGTCTTATAAAAATTACCATTGGCTCTAAGGGGTTTTGTATTTTTTTTTTAAATGATCAAGCCTTTGTTGCATGGTCTCAGAGGGATGCCAGTGATTTGACCACATGCGGACAGAGTCAAAATGGTTGGCACTAATGTTTTTGAGGGTGCTGATGTGAGACTTCTTATTGGTTATGTCATTTAAGAGGTCACAGTTCATCTCCAGCCAATTCCATCTTCTTTTGCAGAGATTACTGATGCTGTGGGCAGTGGCTTTCTGCTAACTTTAATTCTTTGTTTAACTTATTCACTCTTACACTAGCATTACTTGGGTGCATGTTTAGGCAGATTTGTCTCTGGCTTTCTCTGCTTTTCAGAGAATGGTTGACCTTGGACAGCAGTGTCAGAATAACATGCAGTCTGAGAGGCCCCATACAGATCGATTCTTAATTTGCATGGTGATCAGCCATTGGAAGACAGAGCCCCTTATCAGTCACCTTTCCTGGCCATAGGAGCCTGCACTGTGACCTCACCCACGAGAAGAGCTCAGTAAATGTTTGCATGTATGATTACAGCCTGGTGGCTTCCCTGACCACCCTCATTTTGTGAACAAAGATTGAGAAATGTCACAGAAGGTAGAGAGGAATGAGCAATACCTACACTTCCTGTGAATGGTTTTCCCCATAGCGCCCAGAAGAAAGTCCTGAAGACAGAAGGCCTGTAACTCCCTAACCCAGCGCCCTAGACCCAGAAATAAAGTGAAAGCTCTGTCTGTGCATCTGAGTGGAATAGTGACTGTTTCAGAGTAATTGTTAAAATGTGAGCTTCTGTCGCCATGTTTACCTTTGACTGTGCAGCACCCTGTAGATACGGTGTAAACGTTGAGTAGCTTCTGTCGTTCCAGCTCCCAGTTCTGTTATACAGCTGTTGACAAAATGGGGAGCTCTGCCAGTGTAGTTGTAGGGAGTCGTCCCGCTAACCTAATGGGGGTCGGTACCAGTCCACCGGCAGCTCCATGGGAGAAAAACAATCTTCTCTTGTACCGTTTGCTGCCTCTGAAAACCAGCTGGAGGTCAGCGGTGAGTCGGCTCTGCCAGGACACCAGTGAGTTGAGTTTTGTTGATTGACAGAGTCCTGGCAGAGCGCCTGCATTGTCATAGTTAGTGTTACCTGGGAGCAGCGCAGTGTCCTCACCCACAGTGAATTCTCACCATCCCCGAGGGAGACCTGGAGCCCGAGCCTGACCAGCACACCTCAGGTGTAGCTGCCACTTGTCAGTAGAGGTTGTTAATAAGGCTGAACGAGATCATGTTACTCCTTCCCTCAGATTGGTGGGATGGTTCTTTTGTTATTATTAGAGCAAAGCAGTGGGGCTTCCAGGCTGAGATGTTCACGGAAGAAAGACCTGGTGATCTACTTCAGTGACTAGTCAGTGACCCCGCAGTGAGGTCCCCACAGGTGTGGGGATAACAGCATTGGTTCTCTTGGGCCTACGATCACCATGAGTGGCAGCCACCAGACTGCTGGGTAGCAGCCGCAGCTTTGTTTCATGTCCTGCCAATCAGAATATCATTGGTTCAGTTAATTATTTGGCTGGAATCTGTTGCAAGACAGTACTAGTTGTGCTCATTTCTTTTATGTGCATTTTGGTGATGTTGGCCAGTGTATTATGTTAAGTTATTCTCCCTTAGGAAATTATAAATGGAGGCTTTATATGTGTTCAATTAAAGTTGTTCGATTTTCTCTTATAAATGCTTATTTAAAGCTACTAACTCTACGTGTCTTACTTGTTCCTTCAGGGATGCAGGCCACAAATGTCCAGTGGACAATGAGATCCTGCTGGAAAATCAACTGTTTCCTGACAATTTTGCAAAACGAGAGATTCTTTCTCTGATGGTGAAGTGTCCTAATGCAGGTTGTTTACACAAGATGGAACTAAGGCAGCTAGAGGTACTAACTAGCACCATTCACATGCATACAGGACAATTGAAAGGTGGCTTGCTGTGTCTGTCCATTTGCTGACAATGGTAGCACAAACAGTTAAGTCCTTGATTACTAGCCAAAAGATTGGTGGTTCAAACTCACCCAGAGACAGCGTGCAAGAAAGGTCTTGCCAGGGAGCACTGGTGACCTAGTGACAAGAAGCTGCACTGCACTCCCAGACATGTGGTTTCAATCTACCAGATGCTCTGCTGGAGGAGGGGCAATCTCCTATACCAGTCAGAACCTATTTGATGGTACACATAAAAAAAAAAAAAGAAAGAAAGAAAGGTCTTCCCATCTTCTTCTGGAAGTTTGCAGCCTTGAAAACCCCATGGGACAGTTCTGTCCACATGTTGGGTCACCATGAGTTAGAACTGACTTTGATGGCAATAAAAACGTTATATAATAATTGGATACTTCAACCCTTTGATTTTTTAATAGAAATAGAAACCAGAAATTTCTTCTCTCCTCTATTCCAGTGTTGACCTAGGATAATAAAAGCAAGATCCATATTCTACCAGTTTTCAACAGCATTGTTGTGGATAGGTGCTGTCGAGTCGAATACAACCCATAGTGATCCTATGAACAAAAGATCTGAACCCTGTTCTATAAGTATCCTTGTGCCTTTAGTGTTCATAAGGTTTGCAAAGGCTTGTTGTCTAAGCTGATCCTGCTTCCACGACAATCTTAATCTGGTAGCTCTACCAAACCCTGTCCACCATGAGTAAACTTAGGGCATTTTACACTCTAGTGGCACAGCTTTCAGTATCACAGTAAACCCAAGTTATCTTAGTACAGCAAACTGACAGACAAGTGCTGTGAACAGCATTATAGTCAGTAAAACTGAAGAAGGATATTTTAAATACAAGTTTCCACATTCTAATCCTGTAAATTTATTTTGAACCAAGTTAAGAATTCACACACAGTCTTCATCTCAGTACTTTTTAAAATAATATCTTTCATTGATGGCTGGATAGATATTAATTATAGCTGGATTACTCAAAGCAATCAAATAATAAAGTTTGTTTTTAAACTAAATCAATTCTTAGCTTGGTGATTGACAACAAGGAATTAAATATTGATACTGTTCTACTTGAAGCAAAATGTTGAGGATGAATTTGTAGGATGCCTTCTTTACTCAGCTCTTTCTGAAGCATTGCCCACTTGGCCTCTGCTAAATTGATAATCAGGAAATGTTAACTTCTTCCCAACTCTTTCTTCTTTAGGATTCACATTCTTGGAATAAACTTTCTATTCACAATGATTACTTGGAAGAATTTATATTGATAAAAGCCTACATACTGTGAATTGTTCTGTGCTATGCATTCTACAAAAGTTACTTATAGTAGAAATGAGAATATTCTGAAAAGAAGTTATGCTTAGCAGATGTCTTCAAATCTGGGCAAAACTGACATGATTTTTTTTTCTATAGGCCCATCAAGCACTTTGTGACTTTGCTCTTGTGGATTGTCCCCAGTGTCAGCGTCCCGTCCAAAAGCGCCAGGAGAAAATGCACATGCGCTTGGAGTGTCCAAGGAGACAGATTTCTTGTGGGAACTGCTTAAAAGTCATCCCTTTTGAAGAGAAAGAGGCATGTATTTACTTGGAATTGTTAATTACAGTACTGCTAAAAAATGTTTGTGTTGAAGGACTGTTTCAGGAGAATAGTAAGGTCTGTCACTCCAACAGCATTGTCAACTTTTGGACGACTGATTTTCAGGAAAGAAAAAAATGTTCAGTTAGTCACATTACTGAATCAGCGTAGAGTTTATATTTGCATGTCTGTCTTAGAAAGCATACTACGACTTGTTATTCTCATAGATCTGCAAGTAGTAAAAGCTGTTGGGAAGAGCTTAAAAGCTGATCTGCCTGCCTGTGTGTAATTGTAATGACCAGTCTGGTATTACAGACAAATAATGGGATAATTACTGGATAGAGTTTACACAGAATTATTTGGAAAAAAGATGGGTCATTAAAACGCTTACAGAGCATAAAATAAAGCCTATGAAATCTGTTCACTTTAGAATAGCTCACTGAGCTATACAATTTTAATGTGTGCACATCTCTCTCTCTCTCTCTCTCTGTGTTTCTCTCTCTATATATATATGTATGTATGTCTACACTCCAATTAAAAAGCTTATTTTCTTTTTTTTAAAAAAGTTTCATAGAGCCTGACAACATCATTATCTGTGATAGAACACTTTGTTGTTGTTCTATTAATAGTATGCGTCACTTGGCTCGCACTAAGATCCTAGCTACTGAATCCCTATCCTAGGTCCTCTTTACTAAGATAATGTATGAATTATTTTGTAAGAATGTAAATTAATATTCTTTTATAACCACTACTTAGCTGTGTCCTTATAAATTTATATTGCTGGTTTTCTCTGCTGTCCTGAGATCAGAGTTATTATACTCATTAACTTCATGAGATACTGAACAAGTCAGCTAACTTGCTCACAGTATAAAAAGTATCGTGCCCAACAATCATTTTAAAAAATTAAATAAGACCAGCAAAAGGTCTCTCTTCATGTAGCATACAACTTAGTGGGGAAAGAAGAAAGAATAAGCTAAAAATTGCTTATGAATTTTAAGAAAAGTTGTAAATAAGTCTGAGTCAAATTAGAGTAAATGGATGTATCTAGCCTAACCTTCCAGAAGTAAGATAAGCTTGACTTGCAAAGCTAATTATTTCTTGCTAAATTAATGCTTTTGTGGCCTTGAAAACCTGGAGCATATGAGAACCTGGGCCAACAAAGCCTCGTGTCCTAATAATACTTTTCTTCATCAACTCTCCTTGACAGGAATTCTAATTAAATCGTCATGCCACTGCTAGAAATTTTTGGAACAAGGGTGCCTTTGGAGAATTACAGTGTTGGCAAACAGTGTCCAAACTAGTCACAGATGCTTTGCCTCAGCTGGGAAGAAAGTGCTAGAAAAGATTCTCTTGTGCATACTGTTTTACTCATTTAAAGAGCTGGAGGGCTGGATGAATCTATATTACTATACCAGCAAAGGAGGCTAACCTTTGTAAAATAATCTCACATTTTCACTTCATACAACTCAATATCCTTAATTTTTTCATATTGAAAAGCTTCTGCGTTTAAGTAGATTTTCTCATATTCTTCTCTTTTAAACAAAATTTAGATCCATGACCAGAATTGTCCCTTGGCCAATGTCATCTGTGAATACTGCAACACCATGCTCATCCGAGAACAGGTATAATAACTCCCTTTAATAAATTATTCTTCCCATAAATGAAAGAGTGAGTTTGTTTTTTAATTGAAAGTTTAAATAAGGTAAAATAAGTACAGATTGTGTTAGAACTGTGTGGAAATTTTAACACCTGCTAATATTTTTTACAAAACAACTTTCAGGAAGGACAGAGTAGTCCTTTTTACTAAACATTCCTAGGTCATTAACTAATGTAACCTCTATGTTTGTGCATATTGTTAAAGACAGAAACTTTAGCAAATACATATATCATACATATTATGAAATGAGAATCATAGCTCTCCAGAGCCTCACTGATGAGTAACATTGAAATAGAAGGAAAAAAGTCTGATCAGTTGTTCTCTTCCATCGAGTTGAGTACAGCTCGAATCAACCCCGTGAATAACAGACTGAACCCTGTCCTGTGCCATCCTCATCATCTCCGACACATTTAAACCGGCTGCTGCACTCGCTATATCAGTCCTTCTTATTGAGGGATCTTCTTATCTTTCACTGACCCTCTGCCTTTCCAAGCAGGAAATGCTACTTCCTAGCAAAATGCCCAAAGTATGAGAGGTGAAGATGCTTCACCATCTTTGCCTCCAAGGAGCACTCACTCTGGCTGTACTTTTTCCAAAACATACCTGTTTCTTATTTTAGGAGGGATATTCAGTACCCTTCTCCAACACCACAGTTCAGGTCCTCAATTCTTTTCCTGTCATCTTTATTCCTTATCCAGCTCTCACATGCATAGCAAGTGGTTGAAAAGACCATGGCCTGAATCAGGCACACTTTAGTGTTCAGATTGACATCATTGCTTTTTAGTATTTTGGAGAGGTCCCTGACAGCAGACTGGCTCAATGCAGTATATCTCCTGACCTCATTATTTGTAGTCCCTAAAGTATGGATGGAGCTTTGGTAGACTAGTGGCAAAAAGATGCACTGCAATCCTGAAGGCACACGGTTCCATGGGAGAAAGATGGGCAGTCCCCTCCTGTGCAGTTAACTGCCTCTGAAACCCCACTGGAGGGTCAGCTGTGAGTCTATTCTGACTAGATGGTACACAAATGACAAAGTATGTTGGAAAGTTTTAAGAGCTAGGTGCCACTGGTAGGCCAGTGTCACAAGTAGAATGAAATATTTTTTTATTACTAATGCCAAGCCTCCAAAGCCCTTATTATCAAGTTGACTTCATAGCAGCCCTATAGGATAAAGCAGTATTGTCCCATAAAGGTAGGAAGTCTGTAGCTGTGTAAGGAAGCAATGGCCTCATCTCTCTCCCCGGATCACCCAGGGAGCTCAAACCAGTGCCTTTTTTGGTTAGCAGGCAGTCACACTTAACTCTCTAGTCACCTGGGCTCCTTTGATTATTGCTGGAGAAAGGAAAATTCCAGCTAATTGCTATCATCTGACATTTGAAGAATCTACCCACAAAATATTAGTCACTATTTCATACACCCTTAGAATTTGCAAACCCAGAGATCCCTATTGATTACCTTCATAAACAGAAGCGAGCAGAACCTGTCACTCAGCTAAACCTTTCCGCTTGTGTTCGAGTGCTTCATTTTTTCCAGCAGTCTACATTTGAAAGGGCTGGATTTTTTTCCTCATGAAGTTCCACCTCCCCACTTCTCCTTTTTGCTGTGTTTTAATATTTAAAGGAAACTGTACAGTTCATTTAAAGCTCAGCAAATACAAGACTTAGTATAGAGGGAAAACTCCAGGCTCAGAAGACCTGGGTTTGATCTTGGTCGTGCTCCTTATTTGCTCTTTTATCTCTGGTGAGAGGTTTTTATTCTAGATCAGGAGTCCGCCACCTGTGACCCACTAACCAACTCTAGCCTGCTTACTAATGTTTGTATATAACATCTTACCGGACCTCTCATTTTCAATCCTGGGTGGTGCTCCTGCAGGAATCGAAAGCAGGACTTTCAGTTAGGGCCTGTCCATGTGTGCCCACAGCAGCATATTCATTCACAAGAGCCAAGGGGGACATGGCCCCCACATGTCTCAGTAGCTACGGAAAGCTCAAAATGAATTGTGCTACATATGCAGTGGAGCATTGTTTCCCCTAAAATGAGAAGAACTAATGACGTTCTGATCCACACGGCAGTGTGGACATACCTCAGGAATCATATACCAATCATATACACGAAAGTCCACAGAATGTGTAATTTCATACATATGAAATATCCTGAATGCATAAATTCATATTCAGAGAACAAAGACTTGTAGTTGCCAGGGACTGGAGTTGGGGCGAGTAAAGAGAAACTGCTTAGGAAACTAAGGGGTTTGCTGTGGACTGATGGAGATGTTTTGGTACTAGCTAGGGGTGGTAGTTACCTGGCTCTTTGAATGTACCTGTCACTGAACGGTTCACTTTGAAGTGGTTCATTTTGTGTTCCGTAAATTCCACCTCTGTGTCTGTCTCTTTCTCATATTTTATTAGAACACAATGATGTCCATGTATTTGTATTGCTCCCAGCCGCCTCCGCACTCAGGTGGTAGACTTGAGCCCTTGGGACAGTGACCATTTTGCCCACAAAGCAGAAGACCCTTTACAGAATTTACTTCGTGCTTCTTTACAAAAAGACCTTTGCTAGCCTCTGTTCTAGATTATCGGTTTCCTCTTGTAAAACTGGACCAGATGGTCTCCACAGTCATTTCGGCTGATTATTTCTGACTGGTGCCAAACCAAATTTGGCACCACTTTCAAAGAATAAGATTCTGTATGACAAACAACTCTCACCTTAGAAAATGGGTTTTATTGTCCCTAGATCAAAACTTTGTGATTACAGCTTGTATTAATATGCTCAAAGCACCTTGTAACACATGCGCCTCCCTCTCGTAGCTCAGTCCTGCCCATGTTAACAAATGCGTAAGAAGAGTTAGGAAAGGCGGGACTGAGGGAGCAGCGGGCACCATCAGTGGCTCTGGTGTGCACATTGTACACACTGCTCACAGTGGACCCACTGACCTCACTCCTGTCACAGGCGAGAGCCCGGATGGAGTTTGTCGTTGCTTTCTCCTCTAAGCTGCCACTAGAGGGTGACAGTTCTCAGCAGTAGCCGCAATTACATGTTCTTTAAATGAGCTTTGTGTAGTGCTCTGCGGAAGGGGCGGGGATGATGCTGTAAGATGTTGCCATTTCCTTTCTCTGGAGACTTTTCAAAGTAAATATTTTCATCTTTGTGGGCTCTATGGTTCCTGCCACAGGTAACTCAGCCCTGCCATTGTGGCACAAAAGCAACTATAGATAATCGTGTAAATGTTTAAGGGAAATGTAAACCTGTTAAGAATGAGCTCATCAAAGTAGAGTATGATATACAGGGGCAAACATTTCTCACCCTTTGTTTTGGATTACAGATGCCTAATCATTATGATCTGGACTGTCCTACAGCCCCGATTGCGTGTACCTTCAGTATTTTTGGTTGCCTTGACAAGGTAAGGGCTATTTCCATTTACGTCTCAAATACGGATCAAGACTGTTCTGTTACCTACTGTTGTTGTTGATTGTCTTCGAGTTGAGCACGACTCATAGTGACCCTATGAACAGAAGCCCCTCTACAACTGTCGACATTTATCGAAATTCATAGAGTTTCCGGAGGCATGTTGTTTACTAGGCGGATGCTACTATAGGTGTAGAGTAATAGCAGCAGGAACATCGATCCTTATTAAACAGCATGACAAATTATATACACAGATGCTCTGAACAGAAGCAAATGTACACTTTGCAGTTCTTGACAAAGGCAGTCAGGCAGACTTGACCAAACAGGATGCCTGGGTGAGATCTTGACAGAGGAAGAAGAATTGTCGAGGAACACAAAGGAAGGAAGGCTGGCGAGACAGCAGCCACAGTGAATTAGTCACCGAGCGGTAGTGTGGAAGGGCCACAGTGATGTTGAGAAGAACAGTGCCTGCAGCTACTAAGAAATACTCATGTCCGCAATGAGAACCATGATGCGCTTAGAGATGGAGAGGTGAGGCGTGTTCAGGAGGAGACGTTGTGATGCCGTAGGTATGATGGCTGAAGGAGAGGAAGGTATCTAGAATGCCCCTGGGTTTTAGAAGACGAACTGAGTGGAGGTAGAAAAGAATTCTTTCCTTTTGAGTGGTGTGGAGTCTGCCCCAGCTGTGGAATATTTAGGGCTAAATGGCCAGTGTGCATCGTGTGATTTGTAACCTCAGAAGGGAAGGGTAACACTTTGGGGAAGCCCTTAACTCCTGGTGAAGAACCCTGATGGCCACTGACCGGAAGGTCACTGGTTCCAGCACTCGTGGGAGCGAGGCTTGGCAGTGGCTCCCATAAAGACTGACAGCCCCAGACACCCCGGGCCCTGTCGACTTGACAGCAGTGGGTTTGGGTAACTCCTGGTGATAATTGAAGGTGTGATTGAGATGCTGTCGAGTGTAAACAGGAAAGAGAACTAGACGCCATGAGTGAGTAGTGTTGTTTTGTTGTTGTTGATGTTGTTGCCACGTAGTTAGCCGTGACTCATAGCGACCCTGTCCTTTGCCAGCGTCATGGTCTCGGCCTGCTCCAGCCCATGGTTGCAGGCAGTATTAGGACACTGAAAGCAGGCATGGAGAAATAGGGTTAGCCTCCAGAATTCGCTTCAGATCTGTTCATCACAGCATCAGATGTCTGCAGTTGGTCTTTGTCCAGAGAATGAGTACACTTTCACTTTTTCCATTATACAGAGGTTTTTTCTAACCTTACAGTAAAAGTCTAATAATTTAAAAACTAAAATGAGCAAAATGGTAAAGAGTATAATTACATTTTGTAGGAAAATTATGTGTATGTGAATGAATAAATAAAAGACGTAAGAAAAAAACTTAAGCTATTAAAGGTAGGTAAGTAGGGAGGGAGGGAGGGAGGTACGATTGTAAAACCTCGCTCATTCCAGCTGAGTCAGAACTGACTTCTGACCCTCCAGCGAGTTCTTAAAGATGATAAATTACGCAGGAGGAGATTGCCCATCTTTCTCAAGTAGAGAAGAGCTGCTGATGGATTCGAACCATCAGAGAGGCACCCCCTTTCAGTTAGCTCAGCTCCCTGTGGACCCCACCCCTGGAGCTCCCTTAGGTAAGCTAAGGGGTAACTTCTTTCCTTTTTGACCAGTCTTTTCCATTTTTGTATTATACCACTGAGTTGCTTTTATAATAAAATTGTTAAATCATAAATACTTTTCATAAACATAGTCAAGAAAGATTCCCGTTTGCAATAGATTAACATGAAAATGAGGAACCGGGTATACTTTTAAACGGTGGGTGCGTGCCATTCAGAGTACAGGTAACATCAGTTCTGGAGAAGAGGAGAGTCATCTGAGTCTGAAGAGAAAACAGGTGTAGGAACTGACACTTCTGTAGGTGGAACAGACCAGATTTGAATGAAAACAGAGCCTCATATAGCCTCACATTTTCAGTGAATTTGAGAGGCAGGGTCATCTTATTGAGATAAGAATAATGCAAGCAAAGGAAAGGCCTAGGAGACTGAGGAAAGTGGTGGCGTTATGTTATTTGCAGATCCTTCCTTGTTCCTGGCCAGGTCCTTGTGTGCACAGTGTCTAAGACTTGTGTTGGTTTGTAGATGCAGAGGAATCACCTGGCGCGCCACCTGCAGGAGAACACTCAGTCGCACATGCGGATGCTGGCCCAGGCCGTTCAGAACCTGAGCCTCGCCTTAACTCCTGCCGTGCCTCCGTGTGACGTACATCCATACGAGTCTTCCTCTGGGTGCCATCCAGAGGTCCGGGATTTCCAAGAAACCATCCAGCAGTTAGAGTCTCGCCTCGTAAGACAAGACCATCAAATCCGAGAGCTGACTGCGAAAATGGAAACTCAGAGCATGTATGTCGGTGAGCTCAAGCGAACGATCCGGACCCTGGAGGACAGAGTCACCGAAGCAGAAGCGCAGCAGTGCAGCGGGATTTACCTCTGGAAGATCAGCAACTTCTCGATGCACTTGAAATCTCAAGAAGAGGAGAGGCCCGTCGTCATCCACAGCCCTGGCTTCTACACTGGCAAACCTGGTTACAAACTGTGCATGCGCCTCCACCTCCAGTTACCAACAGCCCCGCGCTGTGCAAACTACATCTCCCTCTTTGTCCACACGATGCAGGGCGAGTATGACAGCCACCTGCCTTGGCCCTTCCAGGGCACAATCCGCCTTACGATTCTAGACCAGTCAGAAACACCCATAAGGCAAAACCATGAGGAGATCATGGATGCCAAGCCAGAGCTGCTCGCCTTCCAGCGTCCCACAATCCCACGGAACCCAAAGGGCTTTGGCTACGTGACGTTCATGCACCTGGATGCCTTAAGACAAAGAACCTTCGTTAAGGATGATACATTACTGGTGCGCTGTGAGGTCTCGACCCGCTTTGACATGGGCAGCCTCCGCAGGGAGGGCTTTCAGCCCCGAAGTACTGACGCAGGGGTATAGCATCACCTCATTAATTCAAAACAGTCTGAGGAAGCAGTGCCTTTTCCTACCCTGTTCTCAGGGGTAATGTACAACTGGAAAAAGATTGGGAAAGATGGAATAGCTACCAGTGAATGTTTGTAGAGAAGTCATCACTTCTTGCTGTTAAAGATCTAACAGTTTTTTCCTTGGTAATCTCCATGTTCCATAGTTTTCAAAAACATTACACCTGAATTGCGGATGGCATATTGCAGCTATTGTGTTTATTAGTATACCTCTTTGTCGTGCCTTCTTGGGCTGTTGTTCCAATGTGTTTTATTATCAGAAAGCCCAGAATCAGAGTAGTAAAACTTAAAACTGTCTTCCTCCTAAAAGAACAACTTTCCTTAAAACTTCAGTATATTTTTATAGTGTTATATGTAATATATTAAACTTGAGAATCACTACCCTGTTACGCTGGTGCCAGAAAGAAGAGTTTTTCCTTTTGAGTTCTCATTTTATTTGACCACCTATAGATTTCAAAGGAGTTGAGCCATAATCTTGGGAAAGCTTAAGTTCTCATCAGCCTGGGTTCCCCCAGGGTGTTAGAAGGATATTCAGGGACTAGCCTAAACCCTAAATATAACCTGATGTACTTAGTGTGAACATGTCTGTTGAATATGACTCGTTTAAGTGTTTTATTCTGCCTTACACATATATATTTATATATATCTATATATATATTTATCTCCTGAGGCCATGAGGTAACATCTTTGAGTTTAGAATGTTGAAAACCATGTGATTACCAGCTGCTCTTGGCTGTGCTGTAGCCCCTCAGCACAGCATGAGTCCTGTTGTCCTACACATGTTTTCTGTTCCTCAAAGCTTATAAGTCAAAGGAGAAGCCTACACACCGTCATCTCAGTGATGGTGACAGAAACTATATAAGGAAGAAATCTTCATTGCCTTTGAACACCCTCTGGTTTAATTCATTTAAATTGATTTTGTAAAGATCGGTGTTGCTGGAGGTCTACCTGAGAGGTCTCCAGACAAAAGATTGGAACGCATAGTGGTTCTAGCCCAGCTTGGCTTTACCACAGTTCATAGTGGGCTGTGAGGGGAGTTCTTGAGGAATGTATTCAGGTGGCTGGATATGCCACTAGACAGATTGGGGGGGAGGGGGGCGTGTTTGTAAAAGAGTAATAGATAGTAAATATTTGGCAAAATCTGGTTCTCAGGGAATCTCGCGACTAACATAGACCCTTTTGAAGACGCTAAGAGGACCCACCCGTGCTGCTTTTTACACAAATCATTTAAGATTGTCCCATTGAGAGATTGCATTACCAAGCCAGGGCCTCCAGAGCAGTGTTCAAGGTGAGCCTTTATTTCAGGAGGAACCCAAGGCCCCCAAGGGCAGTGTACAAGGTGAGCCTTCATCTGGAGGAACCCAGGGCCCCCAGGTCAGTGTTCAAGGGGAGCCTTCATTTCAGGAGGAGCCGGAGGCCTGTCTCTGGAGTAGAGGCTGGTTTCTGCTTCTAGGCTGACCCACCCAGCAAGTGCTGCTTTGACCTGGCTTTCACTTTCTCTCCCGACCCTCACTCCTCGTCCATCGCCTGATTAAGGCTTCTGCTCTGGTGGGTTTGTGTCACTGAGTGGAAGTCAAGATCTACACCACCTTCAGTACCACATGTGGGTTCGTTGCACCTTCTCAGTTTATGCCCTGGCAACTTGGCCTCCCTCAGGCATGATGCTTTCAGCCGGCCCCTAAAAGCTGTTGTGGTCCCACCTAGCACTGCTGCTATTCCTGTGATTGCCTTTCCACAAATAAATAAATGATTGTCAACTTCCACTTAAAAGGTAAATGGTTATTTTTGTATGTATGTGTGCTGAACCGTTTATTATGATTATCCAAGTTACAGGAATTTTGCTGTCTTATTCTTTTCATGCTTTCCCCTCTTCTCCACAAGCAGCTTTATAAGAAGAATACATGGAGTGTCAAGGTGGCACAGTCAGTCAAGCGACTGGTAGCTGACAGGTCTCTCAGGTCAGACCTGCTTAGAGGAACCTGAGAAGGCAGCCCTGGCAGTCGGCTTCCAGAAGCCTGGGAGGCCGCTTCTACTCCTGGGGCCCCTCACAAGTTATCTGTCAATCTATTTTACAAGCAGATTTTAAACATTGCCACAAAACATTTAAACCTACCCACTTCTGCCTACCAAAAGAGACGAAAGGTTAAAAACATCTTGGTCTTATTTCTGTTAAAAGTAAGCATTGTTGTAGTCAGGTGCCATCGAGCTGACTGCAACTCCTAGCAGCCCTCTAAACAACAGGTTGCAACCCTGCCACAGCACGGACCATCCTAACCTCCGCCTTGCACAAGCCCGTTGCTGCAGTCACTGCATCACCCCATCTCCTTGAGGGTCTTCCTTTCTTCAGAGGACGGGCCCCTCCTGAGGACACATCCAAAGTGTGTGAGGTGAGGCTTCACCAGCCTCGCCTCTAAGTAGCACCCTGGTGCCACTTCCTCCAAAACAGACTTGACTTCGGTACAAAGAGCTTCCTTCCTGCCACGGTGATGTTAATTTTTTTTTTTTTTTTAGTGATGTTACTTTTTCTACTAAGGAGTTCTTACACATAGCTAGCGTACCTTCAACTTCTCTTAGCCTCAAGTTTCATATCAGTAAAATTAGTTGGGCTAGATCATTTCTCAGGTCCTGGCCAACTACAAAATTCTGTTTTAAGAAATTATGTTCTAACCAACAAGATGATGACATTAGGTTTTAAAAGGATTTTGCAAATGGAAAATTGCTCTAATTTATCCTCTGATGCCAGGAAATTTCAACAAGAGCTGTCTGACCAATGGATTGAAAGGTCCATATTTGTTCCCATTCCCAAGAAATATAATCCAACGCAATATGGAAACTATTGAACAATATCATTAATATCCCATACAAGCAAAATACTGCTGAAGATCATTCAAAAGTGGCTAGAGCAGTACGTACATAAAAAACTACCAGAAGTCCAAGCCGTAGTTAGAAGAGGCTGTAATACCATGGATATCACTGCTGATGTCAGATGCATCCTGGCTGAAAGTAAAGAATACCAGAAGAATATCTAGTTGTGCTTTATTGACTAAGCAAAGACATTTGTATGGATCATAACAAGTTATGGCTAACACTGAGAAGAATAGGAAGCCCAGATCACTAAATTCCAGACTAAACCAGGAGATTGTTGTGCAAACAGTGCAAGGGAACACTACCTAGTTTAAGATTAGGAAGGGAGTGCATCACGGTTGTATTCACTCCCCAAGCCTAGTCAATCTGTACACTGAGCAAATTATTTGAGAAGCTGGATTATAAAGATGAATGTGGCACCAGGATCAGAGGGAGACTCATCAGTAACCTGCATTATGCAGATGAAACAATCTTGCTTCAAGAGGAGGACTTGAAGCACTTGTTGGAGAAGATCAGAGAGTAAAGCCTTCAATATGGATCGCATCTCAGTGTCAAGAAAACAAAGATTCTTTCTACTGGACTGATAGGCAACATCATGATGGGTGGAGAAAAGATTGAAACTGTCAACAGCTTCATCTTACTTGGATCCACAGTTAACACCCTTGGTACCAGCAGTAAGGATATTAGGAGACATTGCACAGGGAAGATCAGCAGTTAGGGACCTCTCCAAATTATTGAGGAGTATTGATGTCTGAGGACTAAGGGGTGTCTGAGTGAGGCCATGGTCTTTACGGTCACTTATATGCATCTGCTAGCTGGACAGTGAATAAAGATGACAAGAAGGATTGATGCCTTTGAGTTGTGTTGGAGAAGAGTGCTGAACATCCCATGATGCCATGGAACACACGAATGTGTCTTGGAGAGAGTGCAGCCAGAATGCTCTTAGGATGCAAGGCTGATGAGGCTTCGTCTCACATGCTTGGGGCATGTTGCTAGGAGGGGCTATTCCTTGAAGAGGAACATGCTCAGAAAGGTGGAGGGTCAGAAAAGGAGAAGACAACCAGGTGGATGGACACAGTGACTGCCACAGTGGGCTCTAATGTGTCAGGAAGTGTGAAAATAGGACAGGTTCAAATTTGTTGTCCATAGAGTCACTATGGGTTGTACTCGACACCTAACAACAATCTTTTGATGACTAATACTTCAGTGTTATAATCTAGACTATGTCTTAAATAATTTTTCTTTTCAAATCCCAACGTGGCATTTTCTGATAAACAAACTTGCTATTTTATGCACCACTTTTGTCCTAACTACAGAGTAAAAGTAAAAAAAAAAAAAATTGATAAGACTTCAACTCAGTGTCAAGTCTTACTTGCAAAACCAGATTCTTCCTTGTCTTTTTTATAATCTGCTCTAACTAGACGCACCCTTTTTTTATCTGGTTGGCTCACAAGTTATTGGGCTATGTATTACCTGCCTGTTAATATAGTCATTTTTTGGCTTTATTCCAGGACATCACTATTTAGATACATACATACTTACATACATACATTGTTGTTATGTGCCATCGAGTTGCTTGCGACTCATAGCAAGACTCATGTACAAGAGCCCTAAACGCTAGTTCTATCCTGTGCCAACCTAGCCATCTCATTCCCACCACTCCAGTCACAGCATCGATCCATCTCATTGAAGGTCTTCCTCTCCTTCACCGCCCCTCCACTCTCCCAAACATGATGTCCCTCTCCAAGGACCAGTCCCTCTTTGCAACATGCCTAAAGTATGTCAGATGAAGCTTCAAAATCCTTGACTCCAAGAAGCATTCCTGCTTCACCTTCTCCAGGACAAACCTGTTTGTTCTCCTAGCAGTGCATGGTATATTCAGCACTCTTCTCTAGCACCACAGCTCAAAGGCATCAATTCTCTATCAACCCTATTCACTGCCCAACTCTGATGCATAGCACGTAATTGTGAAGACTATAGCCCGGATCAGGCGCACCTTAGTCTCCAGCCTGATGTCGTTGCTCTTCAGTACTCTTGAGCGGTCCCTCACAGCTGACTTTCCCAATGCAATTCGTCTGTTGATTTCCTGGC